TGAGGAGAGGAGAGGAGAGGAGAGGAGAGGAGAGGAGAGGAGAGGAGAGGAGAGGGGAAAGGGGGAGGGAAGGGGAGGGAAACAAGGAAAGGGAAACTAGAAAAGAGAAAAGAGGGAAAAAAAAAAGACAATTCCCTTTCATCTCAAGAATTTGTAGCAAGGCCTTTCTAATACAGGTGGGAATTAACTAACAGTTTTCACAGAATCACAGAATTGCAAAGCTTGGAAGGAACCTCAAAAGATCCTCGAGTCCAACCCCCTGCTAAAGCAGGTTCCCTGCAATAGGTTGCACGTGTAGGCATCCAGACAGGTCCTGAATACAGAAGGAGACTATGCCAGTTTTCTGGCACTGTAATCTGAGGAAATCTGTAACAATTTTAAAAGTTTCTTTGAAATTCAAAGGGTACAAAAGGTCAGTGATGAGTAAAGTATTAGGGGATTTGAGGAGTGGGGCTTTTTATTACTTTTTTTTTATTTTTACAATTTTGATGACTGTTGTAGAGTATTAGATTAGATTTGTTGGACCATCAAAAGGACTTGTTGACGTGACAGCTGAGTTGATACCATAGCTGACTAATAGAGTGTGATTTAGGAGAGATGACTGTGTCCCATCTATAGAGGTGATTATTGCAGTCAGAAATTCTGATGTAATTTAAATTGGGCAACCAAGAAATAGTATGGAACTGGGTGGCAATTAGGACCTTTTTCTGTAGTAATTGGTAGGAATTATATCAGATTTATTCTTATCTCCTTTTTTTTTTTTTTCTTACACAGTTGATACCAAAGGTTGGTTTATTTACAAAATATTAAAGAAAATATACTGATTATTTAAGAACTGTTCCTCCTTTGCTTGAACCAGAATATTAGTGCTTCTCAACCTCCATGCTTTTTGTGAAATGTCTCTGAATCTTTTTTGTTCCACCTTCCACAAGTGAGAACTTCCGGAATAGCAATTTAAAAATCAGTCAGACAGTATCTGCCTGTAATTACATACAGCTATGTTTGTGAGGCTCCATTGCAAAAGTAATTGGAAAGATTGTAGCTGATACAGCTCCTCGTACAAGTCCTTTCGTAGCTGTTGCACAGTAGGGTTAGATATAATTTAATGAATTGTTTTAGAAAACAATAGAAAGAAACATTTTATGTAGCAGATCATTGCAGCACTTCCTCAAAGATGGAATGAGTGGAAACTTAATGACTTCTCCACACAAAGAGGCACAAGAACGCTTCTTGGGTAATCAAAGGAATACAACAGTGCGGGTTTGCCCTTAAAGTGTGTATGCAGGCTCTGTGATAAATCAACAGATGTGCCAGACAGAGAGACTTGTAGTCCTGAACTCCCTCCCACCAAGAATTAAGGGTCTTTGTTGCAGTGCTCTTTTAAAGATCAATAAGGCATGTGACTTGAATAACAGTCATATGCACTGATGTTCATTTGCACCAATATATTTGTGTGTGAGGGACAAAGAAAGTGAATTTTCACATTCTGCCTCTGGGCGCGGTTTTGGAACCCAGTCCCGATGCAGACCCTGCCCCAACTCCCAGAGGTCTCTGCACTGCCACCACCGCAGCCACCCTCAGCATCCCTATGGAGCAGCTTGCCCTCACTGCCCTCTGGCACCTGCATTGAAAGACAATCCCTGGGTATCTATCCAGATAGCTCACTCTTTGTGCGCAGACATGGAGTTTCTTTTCTCACTGACATGGATGAGATGACACTCAGTGTTGTTGCCCACAAGATTTAGAAATTTGTTTTGCCAGCAAGAAAGCCACCTGAGGTATTGAATTTTGTGGTGTCACTTGAAGTGGTATCTATCACTTATGTAGAAAACTCAGTTCTGGAGGTGGGTCTGTATAGTGGGGAAATATATGCTGCATATTATGGATGACCCTAATGCCAGAAAGGCAGAATGCTTTCAAGTTGCTCACTTTGCTTTGAAACATCTGCCAACTGGTGCCAACTGAACATTCAGTTTGAAAAGTCAGACAAACAGAACTGCAAAAAGAGTCACTGTCCCTTGTCACCACCAAATGGAGTCAAGGCTACATTTGAAAAGGCATTTTCAATTAAAGTCATCTCTTCAGTTCAGTCCTTTGCCATAATTATTTGCCAGAGGACTCTGGCTGTGTTTATCTTCAATATTATTAGCTTCAATGCACTCGAGTGCAAACATTTTAGCTGAGTGTCTGATCGAAGGACTAGCTTCTTAATCTATGAAACCCCACACCAGTGCATCAAAATAAGCCACAGGTGGAGGATATTTGGAAATAAATGATGATCTGTAGATTTGAATTTGTCAGATTAACACTTGTGATGCCAGCTGGAAATTAAAACATGCTTTTAGTACTATTTATATGTAAATTAGGCAATTATCCTTTTTTTAAAAAAAACTACCAAATTTGATCAATAATTAACTTAGGTTATTTTCATCTAGAAAGAAGCATTTCATTTCATTTATATTATTCTTGTTCACAGGACATAGATGCAAGGAGCTCTATTCACATATTCATAAGAGGTTCAGCATCCACTAGGAAAGGAGAAAACTATTCAAGATTTAAAACCCATGTGCTTCTAAGAAGAGCAATTATTCTTGACATCAGAAATAAATATTTGTTTTGCTTGAACCCTTCAAAATAATTTGTCTTGTTTTTTTTTTTTTTGTTGTTCCTGTTGATTTTTATTTTACTAATAGGTGTAAAGATGTGCAGAAGATGTACAGTTTTAATTGTGACTATAATAATTCACTATTATTATAAAAGTATTATGAATGACTTCAAACCTTTTTGTATTCTTGGCTTGTAAGAAAGATCAGTAGTGAAGGACAGGCACATCATGCCTTTGAGTAAAGTGTACTCATTGCCTAATTAATCATATCCTTCATTATATCCACTAAGAAAAAAAAAGAAAAAAAAAACGAAAAAAAAAACCCATGCTACTCTAACCTATATTCTAATGTATACCCTCATAATTATAAATTAGGACCTTCCATTGGTTAAGGGCTTGTATATGAAAGCACAAGCACTTCGAAGTTTACTTTCTTGTGCTGGCCAATTGAATTAACTTAGCTGCACTTTTGAATAATAAAAATGTACATAAGTAGAACCAGGAACAATGCATGTAAATTCATTTGAAAAAAAAAAAAACAGAACAGAGGTAACTGCTCACTTGAGAAAGCAGTCTAAAAAAAAAAAAAAGAAATAATAATAATAAAAGAATAGGAAAATCCTATTTCTCTAATAAAATCTCCAGAAGTTGCAAAATGTTGACAATTTAGCTTTGCAACAGTCTACACTGAGACTAAAATAGTGGCTTCTGTATGTACATTTTAAATTATTTAGTTAATAAATAGTTTATTTTTCCTTGCTGAATGAATGCTGTGCAAGTTATTCCTGGGAAAAAAAAAAAAAAAAAAAAGAAATATACATAAAATAATGCTTCATAAATTCTGCTATTTATTCATAGGTCAGTTTCTTCAGAATATATTTAGATCTGCGTATTGGTGGCACAGTACTGAATCATTTCATAAAAAATTAATACTTTTTCTTTTTCTTTGCAGTTCAACAGAAGAGCAATTTCACTGGCAAACACAAGGTAATAAACTTATCATTAGAGTATTACATATATTCTCTCCCATAAAGCTTGCTTCCCAAATAAGGTAGAGGGGAGAACAGCAATGCTTTTATGTACTTGTTGGGTGTTTTCTTTTCTAATGTTTGAAAACTCTGCTGAAAAAATTGTAGAACTTGGCAAAAGTGGTTAGGGTTGGCAAATGGAGCATCTACAGAGATAGAATAAAGAAAAGTTTTGAGAGAGGGAACTGGTCTCTAGGTTTTTCTTAAGATAAGACCTGTGCTTTCTTAGTTTGCTTTTATTAATCCAAAGCCAAGCTGTTAATGGGCAGCATAACTCTCCTGGATCAATGTGGCCAGCCTGCTCTGAACATGCCATTTGGGTGTGTTTTTAATTCCTTCATCAGCTATAACTGATATATGTATGTGATAGCACGGAACTAGTTTTATCTTTTGCTTTTCTTATACTTTTTTATGTTAATGTTACTACAGATGGTCAGAAGGATATAGAAGATGAGCTCACTACAGGTCTGGAGCTGGTGGACTCCTGCATTAGATCACTGCAAGAATCAGGGATACTTGATCCACAGGACTATTCAGCCAGTGAAAGTAAGTTGCTAAAAATGTGCTTTTCAGAACCCACAGTTATTTGTAATACTTAATGCTTTAAAACTGAATACATGTATTAGAATGTTTTTCTCATTATTTTCTCAAATCAGTAGAAGACAGTGTAGCTGGGAGCAGGAAAATTGGCTCCCTGCATTTCCAATTTGATTTTTGATTTTCTTTGTAATTGAGAGAATTTCACTGGCAGTCTGTGGGCAGAAGCCCCGTGGAATGTATTTTAAGGAATACAGTTAGAAATTGCAGTATGGCCATACTGTATTACAAGGTCATGACGCAAGACTTCAACATCATCACTACAAAAGCATCTTTAAAGCAGCATTGCTTCAGTATGCAAAAGTAGTAATTGAAATGTGAGGTGGTGTGATGTCACTTGTTAGCTAATAGCTGATAGTCTCTAGGACCAACATTTTCAAATGGATAAATGGGCCATAATTGCTGAACTATTCAAGAATGATGCACAGAACACCACCAGCAGCAAGAAAGATGAGGCTTTTCCTCAGATGTTGGTTCAGTGGTCATTTGGTAGCTGTTCTTGTTTGCAGAAGAGTGCTTTGAGTAGATAGATCCTCTGCTAGGATCAGCAGCTGGAGAAGTGAATCAAAGCTGCAGTGAGTAAAGAACAGGGACGTGCCGCCCAGTGTATTTGTAGAGCACATATCTACAAATGCATGTGCTCCAAAGTCACAGACACTGAAACAAAGCTTTCCAACAGGCTGACAAGTCTGAGATGAGATGTAATGGTGGGCACTGAAGATGCAAATTAGTTCCCTATTTTCCTTTGCTTTTCCTCAGTCTCCTTTCTGATACACTGTTGCTGTGTGCCACAAACTATACACACTTTCCCATCACTCCTGCCGCTGCTCCTGACCTTACCTACGCTTTTCAATTTTCTCCTTTATTCCTCTATATGTCTTCCTCTTTGCTCCCTTGAGCCATTTTTGTCTTTTTCAGTCCCTTGCTGCTTAGTACCCTGTGACTGAGACACATCTTTCAGGGTGGTTGCCCGAATTCAGCTTTCTTAAAACCAAAGGGAATGATTTCCCTTTCCTGTGGAAAGGCTAATGGAATGTGACAGCAGCCTTCTGCAAAGCAATGGTGAGTTGTCACCTGAAATGTCATCATTTCAAGTGAAAGCAGTGCAAGGCTGAATGCAGAATTTTAATTTATCATAACATTTTTCATTATTTTAAAACAAGATTTGCAATCAGATTCAAAGTTGACAGTCCTGGGACAGTAGATAGTGTTTCACTTTTCATGTACACAAGATTTCTGGGCCCACAGCATCACTAACAGTTTTGGTAAGATGCTCTTTGACCTGAGAAAAATTTTCTGTAGGGAAAGCATGATGCAACAGTTTAAGCCCTTATAAGTTGCCCTGAGTTTTCCACCCCTTACTCTGTTGTATTCAGAAATGTATTTAGAGTGAGAAGAAACAGACTGAATGACTGATCACAATTGTTTTCATACATTAGATAGAAAAATGAATCTGCGTGGACTGCAATAGGGAAGGTTGAAAGCCAGAAGCTCCTATGGGTGGGCATTGCAGAAACTGGATGAAGAGATGAAAACTAAGAAAAATGTTAGGGAAGGATGAGGATAGCAGGTAGAAAGAAATCTGGATAGGTGAAGGTAACTGCTGTTCAAACAAATTTCTGAGGAGTGTCACAGAAATATAGGAATCAAATAGGAATGTGGTGAAACTAGATTGCCGTTTGCTATTTATGGTTGTTAATTAAGAATCAGATATATATGCCAAAGCCAACAGTTGCAGTTAATCGATCATAAATGCGGGATGTCATACACTGGGTTTTTCTTTTTGTTTGGGAGTCTGTTTTCAATTTAGAATAAAATTTAACAGATACATCAGTTAAAATGCTATTCTGTTTGCAAAGTTAAAAGCACCATTATCAAGACTGTCTATGCAGAATATTTTCTTTTTCTTGTGACTGTACTCTACAGCAATTATTATCGTATTTTGTTTTGTACATTTTCTGTCAATGCTTCATTTACCCTAAAGCTAAGGTTTAGATTGTGCAGTAACAGATTGGCCATGAGCCAGCAGTGTGCCTTTGTGACCAAGAAGGCCAGTGGTATTCTGGAGTGCATTAAAAAGAGCATGGCTAGCAGGTCAAGGGAAGTCTCCCCCTCTACTCTGCACTGGTGAGGCTGCATTTAAACTACTCAGTCCAGTTTGGGTTCGAAAAAGACAGGGATCCAGGAATCCAGTGAAGGGCCACAGCAAAGGTAAGGGGCCTGGAGCATCTCCTCTATAAGGAATGGCTTGGTAACTTGGTCTCTTCAGCCTAAGGAAGAGAAGACTGAGAAGGGATCTAAGAAATGCTTATAAATACCTAAAGGGAAGCTGGGAAGCAAGGCTGGATGAGGCCAGCCTCTTCTTGGTGATGCAACAGGGCAAGGAGCAATGGCCTAACTCTTGAACATAGGAAGTTATATACTAACATGCGGAAGAATTTCCTTGTGGTAAGGCGACGGAGCACTGGAACAGGTTGCCCAGAGAGGTTGTAGAGTCTCCTTCTATGGAGATATTTTAAGACCTGTGTAGATGCTTACCTGTGTGACTTACTGTAGGGTACCTGCTGTAGCAGGGGGTTGGGTTCGATGGTCTCTTGAGGTCCTTCCCAACCCCTGTGATTCTATCATTCTGTGATTTCATCTTGAGCACTATTAACTTCTCTACACAATGAGAACATAGATATTAAATGAAAACAAAAATTACGTATTTAATAGTTCCGCTTCTCACTTAAAGCTGATTTTTATCTCTCCTTTGCATCCTAAAGTTCTGATGTGATAGTTAGGAAATCATTCAAGTTACCTTTTTCCAGTACATTGTTTTGTATGTTACTGGTTCATCCACAGGTGTGTTGAGAACAAACACATCTAGTTGAACTGTGGTAGCAGTGTCTCAAATATACGAAAAGTTATACAAAGGGAAATCTAGGACTTACGCTGGAGTATTTCACAGTATTTGCATTTCATAGACAATTTTCATTGTAATTCATTCAGTTTCTACATAGGAAGTGAGAAAAACGTCTCACTTCATAAAAAGCATTGTTTGTGATGCATTGGAACTTGAATATTGAGTGTCACAGGGTAATCCACGAGAGTTTGTTTTTTTCCTTTGTGTTGGACCATTTTCAAGGAAGGCCCAAGGTGGCATGATGAAGAATGAGGCAATCATGCAACGCTGAATAGGTTTGCATTTTTGTGTGCACCGTCCATAAGACAAGGAGGGAGAGGAAGAGTGATAATGCAGAAAAATCATCATTGTGTGCCATTACTTAGCTTTTGTAGTCTAGAATTTACAATTTTACCTGAATTTCCTTCTGCATTTTGAATGCTTAGCTGTACTGTATGTCACTAGGTTAACTGTGAGGAGAACATTTCTAGCCTGCTGTGTCAGTTCTAGCCTAGTTGAGGCTGATTTTTGAAATCATGATATGAAAGCTTCCCCAGGGATGTGACCACAGCTTCTTTTCCTGAACTGCGTGCACCTAGTGTAACAAGTTAATCTGTGGGTAGCTTTACCTTTGAAGAAGATTAGTGTTTCTGTAGTCAGAATCCTTATGATTCGGTTTTCTGCACTCTGACTTTCTCAGAACTGTTTTTAAAAAATGGTCATGTAGCAGGCACAGGCAGCTATTTGAGGTTATAATACCTCAAATCCCAAATATCATCTTGTGCAGTTTCTTTACCAGTGTGGACATAAGCTAACAAGACATATCACACGAAGGTGGCTTAGGCAGGAGGTGTTCCATATTGCTAAGACTAGTGCTCCCTAATTATTCTTGCTGAGTGTGAATGAGCTGATAGACAAATACATAGGTAGTGCTGTATAAAGCTCTTATTAGTATGGGGCAAGCAGAGCCATCTGTTATTTTTAAGTAATTACTGTCAAAGATGAGCAGATTCATAACTGCTGTTTCCTCACATAAGCTTTCTGTGGTTGCCCAGGCCTGGGACAAGGCTGTTTGCATCTGAGAGGTGCTCCTTTACTGTGGCCAACCTCTTTCTTCTGTTTCAACTCAGTATAAACTGGCCAGAAAAAATGTGTTTCTATTTTGTGTTTCACATTGGATATTAGGAAAAATTTCTTCAAAAAGGTGGTGGGGCATTGGAACTGGCTGCCCAGGGAGGCAGTGTAGTCAGAGGTGTTCAGGAAACAGGTAGATGTGGCAGTGGCGGATGTGGTTTATTGGGCATGGGGGAGATGGGCTGACAGTTGCGACTAGACGATCTCAGTGATCATTTCCAGCCATAATGATTCTATGATTCTGTAATTCTACTTAGAGACAAGCAAAAAACAGGAAACTATGAATAAAGTTAAGGTCAGTTAAGACCTCAACCTGCGTACCTTTGTCCAGCTTCCTGTACTGCAGGAATTTCTCTTTGCCTTTACATAGCTATAAATCTGTCACAACTGTATCACTCCAGTTTATACCACATACAACCTGATGTTGCTTTCATGGTGTCAGAGAGGAGCCGAGATTGTCCTATGTGCTTGTGGAGTTGCCACCAGCAGAAGGTCAATAGTTCACTAGTACCCTCAGTCTCTGAGGTGGGCAGCTAAGGGCTGCTGGCCCATATGGTGGCCACCATCTTGTACTGCATATCCCAGGCTCCACCAGTCCCTCAGTGTGACTGTAGTGGCACTCCATCCCTCCTCCTTGCTGTCAGTAGCTGTAAAACTCAGCTTGGCAGCCTGCAGTGGGTGGCTGAGCTGGCTGTTCCTTTCTGAAACTTTCTTCAGCCCACTGTTTTCTGTTTCTGATGGGCCCCAGAGCACAGTTTTTGTACAAATGAATACTTGTCATTGAAACAAGGTTCAGGGGAAGATCAGAGATGTGAAAGCCAAGCTGGGTCATGTAAAGATGCTGAGAATAGGTCACAGGATAAGGATGGAAATGTTCATTGAGTGTATGGACTGGAATCACTGCAGAGGGAAACATGCAGTGGAGCAAAAT